AATTTCAAAATGCCTTCAACTAAATATGAATTTAATTTTTGAATGCCTTCAACTAAATATATTTTTTGAAAATTTTTGCCTTCAACTAAATATATTTTGAAATACAAAATTGCATGCCTAAATATATAAATAAATATAATTTTAATGCAATTGAATGCTTCAATAAATATATTTTGAATGCAATTGCATTTTAAATCAACTTTATATTTTGAATTTTGTGCATGCCTTCAACTAAATATATTTTGAATGCAATTGCATGCCTTCAACTAAATATATTTTTGAATGCAATTTGCATGCCTTCAAATTTAATATATTTTGAATGCAATTTCAATGCCTTCAACTAAATATATTTTGAAATGCAATTTTTATGCCTTCAACTAAATATATTTTGAATGCAATTGCATGCCTTCAACTAAATATATTTTGTGTTCAACAATTTTTTGTTTCAACTAAATATAACATTTGAATGCAATTGCATGCCTTCAACTAAATATATTTTGAACACAATTGCATGCCTTCAACTAAATATATTTTGAATGCAATTGTATGCCTTCAACTAAATATATTTTGAATGCAATTTTATTTTATGCCTTTTAGTGGCATATAACAAATATTTTGAATTTCAATTTGAATGCCTTCAACTAAATATTTTTGAATGCAATTTTATGGCTTCAACTAAATATATTTTGAATGCAATTGCATGCCTTCAACTAAATATATTTTGAATGCAATTGCATGCCTTCAACTTAATATATTTTTATTTATGTCTTTAAATAAATATGCATGGGTTTTTAAATGCTAAATATATTTTTTTGAACAAAATTTTATGGCCTTCAACTAAATATATTTTGAATGCAATTGTATGCCTTCAACTAAATATAATTTTGAAATGCAATTTTGCTTAACTAAATATTTTTTGCAATTTGTATGCATTCAAATAAATATATTTTGAATGCAAATGCATGCCTTCAACAAATATATTTTAATGCAATTTTATGCCTTCAACTAAATATATTTTGAATGCAATTGTATGCCTTCAACTAAATATATTTTGAATTTTGGTTTAAAAATTTGTATTGCAACTAAATATATAAAAATATCAATTGCATTTTCAAAAAAAAAAATATTTTGAACACAATTGCATGCCTTCAACTAAATATATTTTGAATGCAATTGCATGCCTTCAACTAAATATTTATTTTTGATTGCATAAATTGTGTATGCCTTTTTTCAACTCAATATATTTTGGGTGCAATTGCATGCCTTCAAATAAATATATTTTGAATGCAATTTTATGCCTTCAACTAAATATATTTTGAATGCAATTGCATGCCTTCAACTAAATATATTTTGTATGCAATTGCATGCCTTCAACTAAATATATTTTTGAATGCAATTTTAATGCCAAAATTGTCTAAATATTTTTTGAATGCAATTGCATGCCTTCAACTAAATATATTTTGAATGCAATTGCATGCCTTCAACTAAATATAAAATGAACCAATTTTTTTTGCCTTCAACTAAATATATTTTGAATCATTATTTATTTAATTCAAAATAAATAAATATTTTTTTTTGAATGCAATTTTATGCCTTCAACTAAATATATTTTGAATGCAATTGCATGCCTTCAACTACAAATAAAATTTTGCAATTGCATTTTTTTATTGTATTGTTTATATTTTTCCATGCAATTATAAATTATTTAATTTATTTCAAAAAAATATTTTTTAACAAATTTTATGGTTTCAACTAAATATATTTTGAATGCAATTGTATGCCTTCAACTAAATAAAAATATTTTGGTCATGCAATTTTAACAAATAAATCAACAAAAATATATTTGAATGCAATTGGTTGCCTTCAAATTTAATATATTTTTTGTGCAATTTTTATGCCTTCAACTAAATATATTTTGAATGCAATTGCATGCCTTCAACTAAAAATAAATTGAATGCAATTCAACTAATTATGCCTTCAATTCTAACATATCATATATTTATGAATTGATTTAATTTTCAATCTAAATATATTTTGAATGCAATTTTATGCCTTCAACTAAATATATTTTGAATGCAATTGCATGCCTTCAACTAAATATATTTTGAATGCAATTTTTATGCCTTTTTTATAAATATATTTTGAATGCAATTTATTTGCCTTCAAATCTAAATATATTTTTTGAACAATTTTTTGATGCCTTCAACTAAATATATTTTGAATGCAATTGTATGCCTTCAACTAAATAAAATGTATTGTTGCAATTGCATTTGTTTAATAAATATCAACAACTATTTTGAATGCAATTGTATGCCTTCAAATAAATATATTTTGAATGCAATTTATGCCTTCAACTAAATATATTTTGAATGCAATTGTATGCCTTCAACTAAATATATTTTGAATAATTGCATGCATTTTGTTAAATATATTTTCTATGGGTTATTTAATGCCTTCAAATAAATATATTTTTGAACAAATTTTATGCCTTCAACTAAATATATTTTGAATGCAATTGTATGCCTTCAACTAAATATATTTTGAATGCAATTGCATGCCTTCAAAATAATATTTTGAATGCAATTGCATGCCTTTTCTTCCCTAAATATATTTTTTCCAAATGCAATTTTTATGCCTTCAACTAAATATATTTTGAATGCAATTGTATATGCCTTCAACTAAATATATTTTGAATGCAAATTGCATGCCTTCAAATAAATATATTTTGAATGTTAATTGCATGCCTTCAAATAAAAATATTTTGAATGCAATTTTTTGCCTTCAACTAAATATATTTTGAATGCAATTGTATGCCTTCACAAATAAAATATTTTGAATTGGTGTATTTGAATTTTTTTTCAAATAAATATATTTTAAATATATTTTGAATGCAATTGAAATAAATAAATTTTTTAACAAATTGTGAATTTTGTTTGCTTTTCAACTAAATATATTTTGAATGCAATTGTATGCCTTCAACTAAATATAAATTTTGATATTTTGAATGTTTTGTTTAGCAGCATATAAATATATTTTGAATGGGTTAATTGCATGCCTTCAACTAAATATTTTTTTGACAATTTTATGTGGCTTTCAACTAAATATATTTTGAACACAATTGTATGCCTTCAACTAAATATATTTTGAATGCAATTGGTTTGTTTTCAACTAAATATATTTTGAATGCAATATTTAATGCCTTCAACTAAATATATTTTGAAACACAATTTTTCGCCTTCAACTAAATATATTTTGAATGCAATTGTATGCCTTCAACTAAGATAAAATTTGAATTGTTGGTTTATAAATATTTTGAATGCAATTGCATGAATTCAACTCTATATTTTGAATGCAATTTAATGCCTTCAAATAAATATATTTTGAACAGCAATTTTATGCTTTCAAATAAATATATTTTGAACGCAAAACTTGCCTTCAACTAAATATATTTTGAATGCAATTGTTGGAGTTCAACTAAATTGAATTGTTTAATGGCATATTGATTCAATATTTCTATTTTGAAATGCAATTGCTTAAAATGACAAATATATTTTAATTTTTGTGGCTTTCAAATAAATATATTTTTCTGCAATTGTATGCCTTCAAATAAACTTTTATTTTAAAATTTATTTGTAATTTGTTTTTAAATATATATATCAACATCTCTATGGGTTATTTAATGCCGAAATAAAAATATTTTGAACACAATTTTTTTATGGCTTTAACTAAATATATTTTGAACACAATTGTATGCCTTCAACTACAATAAAAATGTACCATTGTTGGTTTTTTTCAGGAATAATGGAAATTTTCAATAAATCTCTTTATTTAATAAAAAAATCTAAATATTTTGAAATCTTCGGGCAAAGATAATTCACATTTATTTTGGTTGAAGCAGGCAGAACCCCGGATTTCAATCTACTAAAATAGTAGGGCCGAAATTTCAGTTATAACCAGCTTCAAATGTCTGATAAACAATGTAGTTAACAGTTTGCCAGACTAAAAAATTCTTGAAGAGAGAACCCAAATTGGCCCGGGCGAGCGTTGAACAAAAGAACGCCACTGTCTATTAAGCCCCGCCAGAAATGCTTTAGTTTCATCCCAAGAAATATATATATATTTGATTTAACAACAAAGATAATGCACTCCACTTTCATCTCTGTCTATATGCAGAAAAAAACTTTTTTTTTTTAAATTTCTAAACCGAAAAAATTGCGAACTATTCTTTTTCTGCAATAAAAGAAAATGGAATTCAACCATTGAATCGATGTTTGGCCGGCTTTTGCAGATATTAATTTTTTTTTTTTGCTGTCTTTTAAATTTTGCGCAGACTCCCAAAAAAAACTTCAGTCGACCGCAATGGATGAACATCACTTCTGCTTTTTGGCAACAAAAACAACAGAAAAAGGATCAGCAGTTTAAACCGTTCGGACCGGTCGAATAATCTAGTCTTCTCATCGGGCATAAAAAAAAAGTTGTCACTCTGTCTATTTTAGAAAAATTTACTCCGGAGGCGATTCTGTCTTTGCAGTGCGGCTCAAATTGATCTCTGTCTAAGGGCAAATGCCGTCGACTTCCGGGCAATGGTTGAAAATTAAATTTGAATCTGTTTTTTAAAAATAAAGAATATTTATTAAAAAATGAACAAAATGTGGTTTCAAGAAAAATATTGACAATTTTAAATGTGAACTCTGTCTATTAAGAAAAAAAATACAATGCGTAAACAATTTTCGGACAAAGAAAAAATATATTTGTGGCTATGTCATCAAAAAAAGAAAAATTTACTCATTAAAAGTCTCTGTCTTCAATTTTACAAAGATGAAAAAGGCTTGTGTCTTCTTAAACAAAGAAAAACAAGTTGATCTCTGTCTTCAAAAAGACAAAGAAAAAAATTGAACAATTCGGGCAGAAAAGAAAAAGACAATTTGATTAGTGAAAAAGACTAAGAAGAAAGTTTGGACTCTTTAATAAGAAAAAAAGATCATTTTAAAATTCTGTCTTCAAAGCAGAAAAAAGCTTGAAAAGTCTCTGTAAATAAAAGAAAAAAGACTCTGTGTCGTTCTATCTTCGGGCAAAAAAAGAAAAATTTTGTCTCTTTCTAAAAGAAACTCAAGAAAAAAGTCTCTGTCTTCGGAAGTGCGAAAAAAGAAAATGTCTCTTTCTAAAAAAAAGAAGAAAAAAAGGAAAATAAAAAAAGGCAAAAAGACAATGAAAACAAAAAAGGACAAAAACGAAAAGGGTTGGACCGTATAATAAACAAAGAAAAAAAAACAATGAAAACTCTGAAAAGGACAAAGAAAAAAAAAAACTTGAACCGTATAATAAAAAAAGAAAAAAAAGAAATGAAAAAACAAGGGAAAAGAAACAAAGTTCAGTGGTCTCTCTCTTTTCGGCAAAGGACCGTATTGTAAAAAAAAAAAAGAAAAAAAAAGAAAAGACGTTAAAAAACAAAGAAAAAAGAAAAAGGGCTCTGACCGTATAATAAAAAAGAAAAAAAAAAAAAATGAAAAAGACTCAAAGGACAAAGAAGAAAAGGCTTGGACCGTATAATAAACAAAAAGAAAAAAAAAGCAATGAAAAAGACGGGAAAAAGACAAAGAAAAAGCGTCTCTGTGTTTTTAAATAAAAAAAAAAAAAAAATTTCTGAAAAGACGGTGGAAGGACAAAGAAGAAAAATATTGAACTCTGTCTAAAAAAAAAAAAAGCAATGAAAACGGTGAAAAGGACAAAGAAGAAAAGGCTTGGACCTTATCTAATAAAGAAAAAAAAAGACAATGAAAAAGACGGTGAAAAAGGACAAAGAAGGAAAGGTTTGGACCGTATAATAAAAAAAAAAAAAAAACAATGAAAAGACGGTGAAAAGGACAAAGAAGAAAAAGTCTTGGACCGTATAAATAAAAAAAAAAAAAAAGGTCAATTGAAAAGACGGTGAAAAAGGACAAAAGAAGAAAAATTTTGGACCGTATAATAAATTTTTGTTAAAAAGATAATGAAAAATAACGGTGAAAATTAACAAAGAAAAAAAGGCAAGGACCGTATAATAAACAAAGAAAAAAAAAGGCAATGAAAAACGGTTTTAAAGGACAAAAGAAAAGCTTGGACCGTATAATAAACAAAAGAAAAAAGACAATGAAAAGACGGTGAAAAGGACAAATTTCCTCTAATAACTTTAAAAGATATGGACCGTATAATAATAAACAAATAAAAAAGGCAATGAAAAGACGGTGAAAAGGACATTGTTTTTTTTCTAAATCAACCGTTTAATAAACAAAAGAAAAAAAAAAAAATGAAAGAAAGTATTGAAAAAGACAAATAAGAAAAGGCTTGAACCGTAAAAAACAAAAAAAAAAAAGAAATGAAAAAACGGTGAAAAGGACAAAAGGGTAATTTTTCCGTATAATTGACAAAGAAAAAAAAACTGGAATGAAAAGACGGTGAAAATTAACAAAGAAGAAATTATCCATTGACCGTATAATAAACAAATTAAAAAAAGACAATGAAAAAAGACGGTGAAAAATCTACAAATAAGAAAAAGGCTTGAACCGTATAATAAAAAAAAAGAAAAAAAGACAATGAAAAAACGATGAAAAGGAACAAGAAGGCGGTTTGGACCGTAAAATAAACAAAGGAAAAAAAAGAATGAAAAAAAAGTAGTCAAAGACCAAAAACAAAGAAGAAAAAACTTGGACCGTATAATAAAAAAAAAAAAAAAGACAATGAAAAAAACGGTGAAAAGGACAAAGAAGAAAAGGCTTGGACCGTAAATAAACAAAAAAAAAAAAAAATTCTTAATGACGGTGAAAAGGACAAAACAGAAAAGGCTTGGACCGTAAAAAAAAAAAAAAAAAAAAAATGAAAAAAAAACGGTTTGTGTTTGTAAATTAAAATGAACCTTGGACCGTATAATAAAAAAAAGAAAAAAAGGCAATTTTCCAAGACGTTTGAAAAGGACAAAAAGAAAAGGCTTGGACCGTATAATAAACAAAATAAAAAAAAGACAATGAAAAAACGGTGAAAAAAACAAAAGAAGAAAAGGCTTGGACCGTATAATAAAAAAAAAAAAAAAAGGCAAAAAAAATTTACGGTGAAAAGGACAAAGAAGAAAAGGTTTGGAAATTATAATAAACAAACAAAAAAAAAAAATTCAATGAAAAGACGGTGAAAAGGACAAAAAAAAAAAAAGTTTTTAAAAAAAAAAAAAAGTATATTTTTTAAACAAAGAAAAAAAAAACCGTATAATTAAAAAAAAAAAGGCAATGAAAAGACGGTGAAAAGGACAAAGAAAAAAATTGGACCGTATAATAAAAAGAAAGAAAAAAAAAAAGGCAATGAAAAAAGACGGTGAAAAGGACAAAAGAAAGAAGGATTCTTTTCCGTATAATAAACAAAAAAAAAAAAACTGCAATGAAAAAGACGGTGAAAAGGACAAAGAAGAAAGGCTTGAACCGTATAATAAAAAAAAAAAAAAAAAAAAACAATGAAAAAACGGTGAAAAGGACAAAGAAGAAAAGGCTTGGACCGTATAATAAATAAAAAAAAAAAAGGCAATGAAAAAAACGGTGAAAAGGACAAAGAAGAAAAGGCTTTGACCGTATAATAAACAAAAGAAAAAAAAAAATGAAAAACGGTGAAAAAAATGGAAGAAAGGTGAAAAGGACAAAAGAAGAAAAAAATGTTTTAAAGGACAAAAAAAAAAAATAAAAAGAAAAAAAAAAGGCAAAAAAAACGGTTGAAAATCACAAAACCCATGAAAAGGCTGGACCGTAAAATAAATGAAAAAAAAAGACAATGAAAAAAAAAACGGTGAAAAGGACAAAGAAGAAAAGGAATTTCCGTATAATAAACAAAATAAAAAAAGACAATGAAAAGACAATGAAAAGGACAAAGAAGAAAAGGCTTGGACCGTATAATAAACAAAGAAAAAAAGAAAAAGGCAATGAAAAGACGGTGAAAAGGACAAAGAAGAAAAGGCTTGGACCGTAAAATAAACAAAAAAAAAAAAAATTAACAATGAAAAAGAATCGGTGAAAAGGACAAAACAAAAAAAAGAAAACCGTAAAAAAAAAGAAAAAAAAAAAGACAATGAAAAAGACGGTGAAAAGGACAAAGAAAAAAAAAGATGGACCGTATAAATAAACAAAGAAAAAAAAAAGACAATGAAAAAACGGTGAAAAGGACAAAGAAGAAAAAGCTTGGACCGTATAATAAACAAAAAAAAAATGAAAAAACGGTGAAAAGGACAAAGAAAAAAAGAAAAGAACTTGACCGTATAATAAACAAATCAAAAAAAAAAGGCAATGAAAAGACGGTCTGAAAACAAAAAGAAGAAAAATTTGAAAATACATTTTATAATAAAAAAAATAAAAAAGACAATGAAAAAATCGGTTAAAAAATAAGAAGTCAAAAATGGACCGTATAATAAACAAAAAAAAAAAAAAATAAAAAAATATGAGAACAAGAAATAAAAAAAAGGCTTGGACCGTATAATAAACAAAAAAAAAAGAAAATGAAAAGAAAATGGACAATTTTTCTAAAAACAAATGAAAAATAAAAACAAAAAAAAAAAAATGAAAAAAGACTGTGAAAAGGACAAAGAAGAAAAAGGAATCTTGGATATAATAAACAAATAAAAAAGAATTTCCTCACAGATGAAAAGGAAGTTACTTGACCGTAATAAAAACAAAGAAAAAAACTGAAATGCTATGTAATATCAATCAAATATATGGCAGTGAATGCTGGACAATTTCATTTTGAAGAAGACGTGTTTGCAATAGAAACTTGAAAAAAAATGAACTGCTATAAAATATCAATTTTATGGCAGTGAATTCTGGACAATTAGTCACAGATGAAAATATTTAAGGGATAAAACAAATGAAAAAGTAAAAACTGTTTGCGAACAAAAGATAACAAAAGAAAAAATAGAAATTAAAAAAAATAAATTTTTCTTTTTAATAGAAATAAAAATTAAACAGAAAGAAATAAATGATAAAATAAATAAAAGGTTAAAAGAAAAATAAGAAATAAAGGAAGTAAAAAAGAAAAAAAGCAAAAAAGCAAAAAAAAAAAAAAAAATAAAAGCTTCAATATAAAAGAAAGATTAATGATATGGAAGGAAAGAAGTAAAAAATAAAGGAAGAATGCTGAAATGACAAACTAAAAGAAGAAAGAAAAAAAATGAAGTCATTATGAAATGTGAGATAAATAATTCAAAAAAAAAAATGAAATGAAAAGAAAAAGAAAGAAAAAATTCTTTCAATTCATTCTTTACTAAATAAATAAAAAAAAAAACGATGTTATTTAAAAGAAAAAATTTTCCCCAAAAAATAAAAAAGAAAGTAATAAATAAATAAATGAATAAATAAAAATAAGAAGAAGAAAAAGAACAAGAAGAAGAAGAAAAAGAAAAAGAAGAAGAAAAAGCAATTAATATGAAAAGAAAACAATATATTAGGGAAAGAAAAAAATCCAGACGATAAAGATTTCATGGAAAAAGTTTAAAAAAATGAAGAAAAAAGTATAAAAATGAAGGTGTATGTTTTATTAAGAGAGAAAGAAAATAAATGAAGTTAACAAGTGAATAAAAAATGGAAGTGTTGAAAAAGAAAAAAAGAAAAAGAAATTGAGAGAAAAAAATAAATGAGGAGAAAAATAAATGAGAGAACAAATAAAAATTGAAACCAAATGAGAAACGTAAATGAAAAGCAAAACGTATGAAATAAAATGTTTAAAAAAAAATAACCTGACTGTAACGAGATCAAGACAAAATGTGTCGATGGAATTATTCGATTATTTTCGAGATGCAGGTGTTTGACTAATTTTTCCCGTGAGCCAACGCGGTTAAGTCAACGATAAAAAAAAATGAATATCTGTCATATGTGAAAAGAAAATATTTAAATTTAAGATAAATATGGGGAGAAAAAAAAAAAACAAATGAAAATTGAGAAACATAGCAACAAACATAGAAAGAAGATGAAATATAAGATATAAAAAAGAAAAAAATTGAAAATTGAGAAAATGGGTTTACAAATGAAAAAAAAAGAAAGAAAAGAAAAAAATCTTGAAAGAAAAATAAAAAATAAAAACAAAAAAAACAAAGAAAAATGGCTAAAAAGAAAAAGAAAGGCAAATAAAATAAATGGAAAAATAAATAAATAAATAAATAAATAAAAAGAAGGAAAGAAAGAAAAAGGATAAATTAATGAAAGGCGGCGGGAAAAGAATGAAAATAGAAAAAGAAAGAAGAAAAAAAGATGTACGAGAAAATTTATAAGTAAAAGAAAGAAGAAAATAAAGAATTAGGAGAAAAGAAAAAAAAAAAAAAACAAAAAAAAAAAGAAAAGAAAGAAAAATTTATATGATAGAAAAGAATGAAAATAAAAAAAGAAAAAAACTTTGTTCAAGAAAATTTAAAAAAAAAAAAAAAAACGCGAAGGAAATTTGTTATGGTCCGATTCCTTGTACCACGTTGATAATCCAAGGTAGAACCAATAAAGAAGAACTCGAACACGGAATATGGAATAACACAGATATATTACAAACAGGAATATATACAGAGAAGTAGAAGTGTTAGTACGAACAATCAGGTTTAGTAGTAATTGTCTGAACGCGACTCTGTTTCGGACTGTTTGAACCTCTGACTCGACTGACTGACTCGACTCACTTCGCTCGCTCTGACTGACTGACAGACTCCTCGGACTCCTGACGGACCTCACTCCAGACTTCAGACTGAACAGTATTTAGTCACCCCCCCCCACGAGGGCATCATGTGGCACAAGGCCGGTTTAACGTGGGATCTCCGAGCCCGTGGGCTCGGCCAAAATATGCCCTTTGAACCCGTATAAACGGGTTCAGGGTCGGTTTACCTCCCCGAAAGAGACTCCGCCCTTCGGCGTAGCCTCGTTCGAGTTCCTCCCCGCCCGAAGGCAGAGAGTTCAACCGATCAGCCGGTCAGCCGGTCGTCCGACTTCAGACTGAACTCCCTGCTTCCTCTTGAGGCGCAGTATTTATTACGTATGGAATAGTCCATTATGTTATTATGGGTAAGGTTCCATAACAGAAAGAAAAAGAAAACGAAAAAAAGAAAAAATACGAAAAGAAAAAAAAACGTATCCTTTTTGTTTTCCTTTTCTTTAAAAAAAGAAAGAAGAAAATATGTACGAGAAAATGAATAAATCAAAGAAAAAAGAAATAAAAAAGAGTTTGTTTGCTGAATGTTTGACTGATGAGCGAAACCGTTGCTCATTTTTTTGGATAAAGTACCAAGTTAGTACTCGAAAATAATATAACAATGATATAATTTAATAATAATAATAACTATATATATATATATATCTCTATATATATATATATATATATTATATCAGAAACAAAACAATTGACAGGCAAAATGTGTTGAATTTTCACATAAGACGCACATAATTCAAGACCTCCATTTACGTTCACATCAACAAAGAAGCTATCTTCTTGAAAAACTACAAAAAACCACCTTTCAACAACGGCAACACAGTTCATAGTAAGAAATTAAATTCTAACTATCTGTCTTGTATGCAACACTTACAACTAAAGTGCACACACACACGTTTTTAACATCAAGAAATGACCCAATAATGAATTCAAGTTATATTTGCTTTTGAAAAGAAAAAAAAGAAATAAAACATTTCATTTCACTTTCTAATATAATTTTATAAATTGTATTTATTTATTTCTTCCTAATTTATTTATTTATTTATTCCTAATTTTTCTAAAAGCAAAATAAAATGCAGTTAAATTCTGTAAGACAAATATTCAACACGATAATCTTTGCTAATATAACTCATTAATGTATTTCAGAATTTTATCTAACGCTAACGTTCTTTTTTTTTTTTTTTTTAAAAAACAAATTCAACTTTCTGAATTTGGGGGGTTAACATTATTTTGGTATCCATTATTTGTTACATAGAAAAAATTGTACTTGAAATTTAACGAAAAATTACATACAATATAATACATATTTCCGGTAAAAAACATTCTTTTCTTGCCGTCAATTTTGAAAGGATAAATAATTTTATATATAATAATAATGCTGATGTTGATGATAATAATAATAGCGTAGGATGAGTGTATAATAACACATTAGCATCTTTGTACTTTTGGCAATAATAGTTTCTAATGGAATACTGAACAAGCTATTGGATTTTTAAGAAAAAAAACGTCAATTTTCAGAAAAAAAAATTAGTCATACACCAGTAATATATGGTTGCATGAATAATAATAATTGAACAATTAATAATAATAGGAAAATGAATAACGTAAATTATCCAATATTTTTTAACAATTAAGAGAAGAGCAATTAAAAGAAGTTAAAAAAAGAAAAACGATTAAAAATCCTAAAGAATATTTCAATAGAATGTCTGTCTTCTTCAATTTATATTTAAAGATATTAAATTTAAATACAACTCTCTGAGAAATCTCTTGAAATATTGTTTATCATAAAATTCAAAATTGTTTTTTTTTTCCATAAATCAGGTCTTTTCTGTTGCAATAATAATAATAAGAAGAAGAAAAGCTCAGAGAAAGAAGAAGATTGTTTGGTTTGGTTTGAGGCCCAAACAACTATATGGGTTATTTAATGTCGACAAGACTTTTTTGTTGCTAGCACTTTTTTTTTTTAAAATGTATTTCTTTGAAGTCTATTTTTTTTTTTTCAAAAAATGTAATAAAATATGGTAATATTTTCTTTTTTTTTCGTGTTGGTTGAATATTTTTTTAAAAATGTGAGGCTGGTATCAAAATTTTTTTCATTCGTTCATTTTTTTGACTATCATTTTTTGGTTAACTATTTCTCCATAGTATTTTGTTTTATCTTTTTCTCCACCGTGGTTCAGGTGGAAAAAATGGAACACCGGCAATTTTTTTTGGTTTCACGCATTAAAAATTTTCTTTCATTGATCATTTTGTTTTCTTTCAGATGTTTTTTTTCTTTCCAATAACTGATGATTTATCTTCATCCCAATTTCTTTTTTTTTTCTCATATTTTCTTTTATCATTTTTTTTTATCGTCATTTTGTCTTTGACGAGGATGCAAAAATATGATTTAACCCAAAAAAAAGCGATTTATATTTCCTGTCATTATATCATACCCTCTGTCCAACATCAAAAGCGTCATTTACCAGGAAAACCTGTAGTTTATCGTCATTACCCGACATTCGTTAAAACCCAGGACGCGGATGTAGTTTAAAAGTATATTCTCGTTCGTCGAGGTTTCACGTATTTTTCAGTTGGAAAAACCTCCATGCCCCATCGTCATTTTAATACTCAGGATGCATTTATTGAGAACAAAAGGGCGCGGCAATTTCGATTATCATTTTACCCAATTGTAGTTAATTTTTATCTTCATGCCCAGGATGTGGATGCAATTTATCGTCATATTTACTTTGGCCGATGTTTATCGTCATACCCAAAATTGCGGATGTATAATTTATCGTCATACCCATTTTAACATGTAGTTTATAAAAAATTTTAAATAACATGTAATTTTATCGCCATACCCAAGACGCGGATGTAAAAAATTTCATATAGGACGAGGATGAAAATGTAAACCCAGGGACGGAATTTATCGTCAAAAGGCGC